AAGGAGAGAAGGAGAAGGGGGAAGGAAGGAAGGAGGGAAAAATAAGGAAGAAAAGTTGAGTACAGGGAAGGAGGAAGGAGAGGAAGGGGAGGCAAGGAGGAAGGAAGGCATGAAGGGGAGGGAAGAAGTAGAGGGAGGGAGAGGGAAAAAGGAAGGAAAGGAGAGGAAGGGGGGAAGGAAGTAATGGGGTGGAAGGAGGGGTGAGGAAGAAAGAAAGTTAAGGGGAAAGAAGGAAGGAAGAAAAGGAAGGGGGAGGAAAGGATAGGGAAGAAGGAAGAAAGTGAAGGGAAAGGAAAGGAAGGAGGGAAAGGGGAGGAAAGAAAGGAGGAAGGAAGGGAATAGGAGGGAGGAAGTAGAGGAAGAGAGAGAGAAGAAGGAAGGAAGGAAGGAAGGAAGTGGAAGGGGGGAAGGAAGGAAGGAAGGAAGAAAGGAAGATAGGAATATTGATGATGATGATGATCATGATGATGATAATAATAATCTTATTTCTCCCCCGTCTCTGCTGATGGCTCGAGGCAGCGTATAACACTGCTAAAGCACACAATCCAAACACACCATCATTTGAAAACACTCTGTAGAATATGCATATTAAAACATATTTCCATAAAATGCATATTAAAATACACAAAAACAAAAGTTAGGCGTAGAGTGAAAGTTTAAAATGTGTCATTAAAACTGGGAAGGAAGGAGGGGAAGGGAAGGAAGGGAAGGGGGAAAGGAAGGAAGGAAGGAAGGAAGGCAGGCATGCTGGCAGGTAGGCAGGCTCCCACCTGAGCTGCAATACCTGGGCGGGCACTTCCTGGAGCTCTTTCCTCGCAGGCTCCCCTTCAGCAAAAGCCCAGAGCAAGGCAAGCACACGGCCAGAGGGGCCAAAGGTGCCAAAGGCTGGCCCTTCTGCCTCAGAAAGACCTTCCCTTGAAGTGGAAGAGCTTTCTTTGAAAGGAACGGATACGAGGAGAACGCTCCCCCCTCGCCATCGTTGTGGGAACTCGGGGACTTTTGCAATGTCACAACATTGATTTATGCCTTTGTCAAGCGCCCCCGTCCCTATTGTACTTCCCACATCTTTTCCTCGCATTGGTGAAGCCAATGTCGCCTGTGCGCATTCAGGAGAAGACCTGCAAGCCACTCGAAACATCTCCACAGAAGCAGACGAGAAGCTCGGCCTCTCATTGAACATCGAGAAGACCAAAGTGCTCTTCCAGCAGAAGGCACCAGCCAATCCCTCTCCAATGCCAGAAATACAGCTTAATGGTGTAATGCTAGACAATGTGGACCATTTCTGCTATTTTGGCAGTCACCTTCTCCACAAAAGTCAACATTGACTGAAATACAACACTGCCTGAGTTCTGCGAGTGCAGCATTCTTCCAAATGAAGCAGAGAGTGTTTGAGGACTGGGACACAAAGGGGCTTGTTTACAAAGCTATTGTCCTCCCAACCCTGCTCTACGCCTGCAAAACGTGGACTGTCTACGGACGTCAACATTCTACACTGAAATACAACACTGCCTGAGCTCTGTGAGTACAGCATTTTTCCAAATGAAGCAGAGAGTGTTTGAGGACCAGGACATCCGTAGGGATACCAAAGGGCTTGTTTACAAAGCCATTGTCCTCTCAACCCTGCTCTATGCCTGCAAAAGGTGGACTGTCTACAGACGTCAACATTTTACACTGAAATACAACACCGCCTGAGCTCTGAGAGTGCAGCATCTTTCTGAATGAAGCAGGGTGTGTTCAAGGACCGGGACATCCGTAGGGAGACCAAGGGTCTTGTTTATAAAGCTATTGTCCTCCCAACCCTGCTATATGCCTGCGAAATGTGGACTGTCTACAGACATCAACATTTTACACTGAAATACAACACCGCCTGAGCTCTTTGAGTGCAGCATTTTCCAGAATGAAGCAGAGAGTGTTTGAGGACCGGGACATCCGTAGGGAGACCAAGGGGCTTGTTTATAAAGCTATTGTCCTCCCAACCCTGCTATACGCCTGCAAAACGTGGACTGTCTACAGACGTCAACATTTTATACTGAAATACAACACTGCGAGTGCAGCATTTTTCCAAATGAAGCAGAGAGTGTTTGAGGACCGGGACATCCGTAGGGAGACCAAGGGGCTTGTTTACAAAGCTATTCTCCTCCCAACCCTGCTATATGCCTGCGAAACGTGGACTGTCTACAGATGTCACACTCAACTCCTAGAACGATTCCATCAGCATTGCCTCCAAAAAATCCTGAAAATCTCTTGGGAAGACAAGCGGGGAAATGTCAGCGTGTAGAAGAAGCAAAGACCACCAACACTGAAGCGATGGTCCTCCGCCATCACCTCTGCTGGACCAGCCATGTTGTCCGAATGCCCAAAGGTCACCGTCTCCCAAAGCAGTTACTCTACTCCGAACTCAAAAATGGAAAATTGAATGTTGGTGGATAGGAAAAGAGATGTATTAAAGCCAACCTCAAAAACTGTGGCATAGATACCAAGAGAAAACGGGGAAGCCCTGGCCCTTGAGCACTCTATCTGAAGGTCAGCTGTGACCAGCAGTGCTGCGGAATTTGAAGTGGCATGAATTGAGGGTGAAAGGGAGAAACATATCAAGGGGAAGGTGCATCAAGCCAACCCTGACCGGGACCGCCTTCCGTCTGGAAACCGATGTCCTCACTGCGGGAGAAGATGCAGATCAAGAACGGGGCTCCACATCCACCTACGGACGCACCGCCAAGACATCACATCTGGAAGACAATCATCCTTGAGCTGCGAGAGATTGCCTACGTAAAGTAAAGTAAGAAGCCATACAGGTGTGAGCCCCGTTCCCACATCTCCTTCTTTCCCTGGAAGAAAGACTGTTGATAGTAAAGACTTCCTGGAAATACTTATTTATTTATGGTGTCAGGAGCAAACCAAACAGTTGTATTGCATTTTTAAACAAACAAGCAAACAAAACACAAAGTTGGCAAGCTTGGTAGTGAATTCAATGTCCTTTGAGCAGTATCTGGCCCCTTGGAGTGCCTCTGGTGTTGCCGCAAGAAGGTCCTCCATGGTGCATCATGTGGCAGGGCTCAGGGTGCATTGCAGCAGGTGGCCAGTGGTTTGCTCTTCTTCTCCACACTCGCACGTCGTGGATTCAACTTTGTGGCCCCATTTCTTGAGGTTGGCTCTGCATCTCGTGGTGCCAGAGCGCAGTCTGTTCAGCGCCTTCCAAGTTGCCCAGTCCTCTGTGTGCCCAGTGGGGAGTTTCTCATTTGGTATCAGCCATGGGTGTGAACCTGCCACTTTTGGACTCTCGCTTGCTGAGGTGTTCCAGCGAGTGTCTCTGTAGATCTTAAAAATCTTGATTTAAGTCGTTGACATGCTGGCTGAAACCCAAACAAGGGATGAGCTGGAGATGTCTCTGCCTTGGTCCTTTCACTATTGGCTGCTCCTTCCCGGCAGATGTCAGGTGGTGCAATACTGGCTAAGCAGTGTAATTTCTCCAGTGGTGTAGGGCGCAGACACCCCGTGATAATGCGGCATGTCTCATTAAGAGCCACATCCACTGTTTTAGCGTGGTGAGATGTGTTCCACACTGGGCATGCGTACTCAGCAGCAGAGTAGCATAGCGCAAGGGCAGATGTCTTCACTGTGTCTGGTTGTGATCCCCAGGTTGTGCCAGTCAGCTTTCGTATGATATTGTTTCTAGCGCCCACTTTTTGCTTGATGTTCAGGCAGTGCTTCTTGTAGGTCAGAGCATGGTCCAGAGTGACTCCCAGGGATTTGGGTGCGCTGCAGTGCTCCAGTGGGATTCCTTCCTTCCCAGGTGATCCTCAGAGCTCGGGATGCTTGTCTGTTCTTAAGGTGAAAGGCACATGTCTGTGTTTTAGATGGATTAGGGATCAGTTGGTTTTCTCTGTAATAGGCAGTTAGAGCACCTAGAGCTTCGGAGAACTTCAGTTCTACCGTCTCAAAGCTCCCTGCTTTGATGGCACAATCATCAGCATAGCTGAAACTCTCTGTCCCTTCTGGCAGTGGCTGGTCATTTGTGTAGATGTTGAACATGGATGGAGCAAGCACGCTCCCCTGAGGCAGGCCGTTCTTCTGTTTCCGCCATCTGCTTCTCTGGCCCTGGAACTCAACAAAAAAGCTCCTGTTTTGTAGCAGGTTTCCTATGAGCCGGGTGAGGTGGTAATCCTTTGTGATATTATAAATTTTTCTCAGGAGGATCAGCTGGTTTTCCCTGTAGTAGGCAGTAAGGGCACCTAGAGCTTCGGAGAGCTTCTGTTCAACCATCTCAAAGCTCCCTGCTTGAGCAGTGATGGCACGATCATCAGCATAGATGAAACTCTCTGTCCCTTCTGGCAGTGGCTGGTCATTTGTGTAGATGTTGAACATGGATGGAGCAAGCACGCTCCCCTGAGGCAGGCCGTTCCTCTGTTTCCGGCATCTGCTTCTCTGGCCCTGGAACTCAACAAAAAAGCTCCTGTTTTGTAGCAGGTTTCCTATGAGGCGGGTGAGGTGGTCGTCCTTTGTGATCTTATACATTTTTCTCAGGAGGAGGAAGCGGTGGTTCACAGTCTCATGAAGACGGCTCCTGTGATCTGCTGCCTTTCAAAGCCATCTTCTATGTGCTGAGTCAGGTTCAGCACTTGCATTGTGCAGCTTTTGCCTTTTCTGAAGCCAGCTTGCTGTGGGATCAGACAGGGGTCTATATTTTCCATAATTCTATGCAATATAAGTCTCTCCAGAACTTTGTAGAGGTGGCACAACAGGGAGATTGGTCTGTAGCTTTTTGGGTCATTACGGTCTTTGCCCGGCTTCAAGATGGCGATGACTCTTGCTTTCCTCCAGATTTTGGGGATCTGACAGGATGCAGTGCAGTTGTTCATCAGCTCCAGCAGCCAGCGCCTTGCTTTTGGGCCAAAGTTCTTGATTTGTTCCATCCGTAGATCATCCAGGCCAGCTGCTTGGCCATTCTTACATTTGTTGAGAGCCGTGTCCAATTGAGTAGATGTAAAGGGTTCATGGAGGTTGTTGTTCTCAATCACTGGTTGTCTGGCTATTGGTTTCTTTCCTACTTTGGTGGCGAGATTGGGATTTGGGTGCGCTGCAATGCTCCAGGGGGATTCCTTCGCAGGTAATCATCCTCAGAGCTCGGGATGCTTGTCTGTTCTTGAGGTGAAAGGCACATGTTTGTGTTTTAGATGGATTAGGAATCAGCTGCTTTATTTCCTAAAAAAATAAGTTTCCCGAACCAGACCTAGTAGGTTATCTCTAAACGCCTAGCTAATGGGATTACACCGGGCCAGCTTTTACCGGGAAACGTGCTGAACACGATAGCGACATGTGCAGCGTGTCACATGAGTACGGATCCTATGCAGAGAACACCACTGATAGATCATAACGCACAATGAGTAGGAAAGCATGGCAGGTCTCTTTGCAGCAAAGGGAGACCCTTGCAGGGCTTCCCAGCATCACCTCCCCATAGAGGCGGCCCTAGGTAATTTTTAACGGTAAGCAAACAGTATTTTGGCGCCCCCCCCCCCAACCATATATATATTTTCTGTTTGTCGTGAGAGTTCTGTGTGCCATATTTGGTTCAATTCCATCATTGGTGGAGTTCAGATTGTAGGTGAACTATACATCCCAGTAACTACACTTGCTGCACTTGCTCCCTTGCCTGGCCCGCTTTGGGTCCGGAGGCGTGCCTGAAGACCCCGGCGTGTGCACCAAAAGTCACCTCTTCTCCTGACTTTCTCCTCAGCCATTGGGACCAAGAGAGAGAGAGAGAGAGAGGTGGAGATGCCCACCTTTCCTGAAGGTAGGCGCAAAAACAAAGGAGGGAGCGGAGGTGGGAGATACCTCCAGCCGGAGGGGCTCTCTCTCTCTCTCTCTCTCTTGGTCCCAATGGCTGAAGAGAAAGTCAGGAGAAGAGGTGACTTTTGGTGCACACGCTGGGGTCTTCAGACATGCCTCCGGACCCGAAACGGGAGAAGAGAGGAGGCGGGTGGAGCGCCGGAGGATCGGGAAAGGGAGCTGGTCATGGGGAAGGGATCGAACATGGAGAACGATTGAGCGCCGGCTCTCCTCGCGCACCTGTTGGCCAGGTGGAGCAGGAAGGAGAGGGGCTAGGCGAGGCTCAAGGGCCCGGCCCCTTTGGGAAGAGGGTCGCCCGGCAGTGAGGCAAGAAAGCCGGAGCTCCCCCCAGACTGCTAGGGCTCTTGTGAGCTGAGGGTCGCTCCTCAAGTGGCGGTCGAGGGGCATTTACAGAGGTGCCTCTGCGCCCCTGGCAAAAAAAAAGTGTTCTGCGACCGCTTACTTCGCGTAATGGACGAGCCGCCCCTGCCTCCCCATCAAAAACACCAGGGCAGATGTATGTGTGTGCATCATGGGCACACATCTGAACCCCCCCCCCCCCCCCCTTTGCCTGTGGGGAGCATGTGCTTTTGGGGCCGAGCATAGCAGCCCCCTCCTTCCCCCAAGATAAAAAGCCCTCCCGTCTTCTCAGGGTGCCGGCTATTTATAGATGTAAAGGCAGAAAGTTCACTGCAAGAGCTCTCTTGGCTTTGATCTGCCGCCTTAACAAGCAGCTGCTCCTCTCCGCCAGGAAGCAGGCGGGAAGAAGAACGGGAACCCGAAATCGGGGAACGGGCCCAGCTGGCTCCCCTTCCTTCTGGAGCATTAGCTGCGTGTGGTGCTGCAGTCCGGGGGGGGGGGGGGGGGGGGGGGGGGGGGTCCCCATCTCCTTTACCTTCAGCCCTTCAAAAGCCCACCCACCTACCCATTGTCTGCCTGGTGCTTTTACTCAGTGGCTGACAAGGGGGGCTTCTATCCCTCTTCTGTGGGTGCTTTGGACTCTGCTTGTGGCACAAATGTTGGAAACTCATAGGCACACCTTGCAAACACACACACACACACACCTTCCCACCTGGGGAAATAAGCAGAGTGAAGGTGTTCTCTTCCTGGGCTGGAAGAGGTTTTGGAGGGGGCTTCCTCGGGCCAGCTGATCCCTTTCCCTTGGGTCTCCTTATCCGTGGGCTTGCTGTTGGCCCTGCATCTCTGCACCATAAGTAGACTCTCCCCTACAGTTCCATCTTGGCAGGAAGCCTTAGCATTGAATGGTTGTGTTGTTAAAGTGCAAAGTATGGAACCTATGCAGATGGACGGTCAATGCACCTTAAGCAACTTATGCGACAGGTACTGGCTTGTTCAGTAGACTCTCCTCTACAGTCCATCTTGGCAGGAAGCCTTAGCATTGAATGGTTGTGTTGTTAAAGTGCAAAGTATGGAACCTATGCAGATGGACGGTCAATGCACCTTAAGCAACTTATGCGACAGGTACTGGCTTGTTCAATAGACTCTCCTCTACAGTTCCATCTTGGCAGGAAGCCTTCGCATTGAACGGTTGTGTTGTTAAAGCGCGAAGTATGGAACCTGTGCAGATGGACGGTCAATGCACCTTAAGCAACTTATGCGACAGGTACTGGCTTGTTCAGTAGACTCTCCTCTACAGTCCATCTTGGCAGGAAGCCTTAGCATTGAACGGTTGTGTTGTTAAAGTGCGAAGTATGGAACCTGTGCAACTTAAGCAACATGCAGTCATTGAATTCTTGACAGCAGAAGGTGTCACCCCAAAGGAGATTCCTCAGGGAATGCAAGCTGTTTATGGGGATTGTGTTGATGTGAGTACTGTGCGTCGTTGGTCGAGTAAGTTTAAAGATGTTGAGGTGGGAACATCTGACTTGTGAAACAAACAAAGAGTTGGACATCCTGTGGCAGCAACCACCGAGTTTCACAAACAAGAAGTTGGCAGATTTATTCAGGATGATCATCATATCACTCAGAGAGAAATTTCAAGCATAATTGTCATTTCACAAGAACGTGTGGGTCACATTATTACTTTGCTTGACTATTGGAGTATCTGTGCACGAGGGATACCCAGGATGCTGACGCCTGAAATGAAAGCACACAGACTTGAAACTTCAGAAACTGGATCTCACCACCGTACTACATCCTCCATTCAGTCCAGATTTAGCACCGTCTGACTTCCATCTGTTCCTGATAATGACAGAAGATCTGCAGGGACATCATGATGCTTCTGATGAAGATGTTGAGAGAACCGTGAAATGATTGTTGCGGAAACAAGAGTGTCGCCTTCTTCCGTGACGGCTTCAGAAAACTTATTCATCATTGGCAGAAATGTATCCAATTGTCTGGTGATTATGTGGAAAAGTGAATCATCGAATCATAGAATCCTAGAATCAAAGAGTGGGAAGAGACCTCCTGGGCCATCATCCAGTCCAACCCCATTCTGCCAAGAAGCAGGAATATTGCATTCAAAGCACCCCTGACAGATGGCCATCCAACCTCTGTTTCAAAGCTTCCAAAGAAGGAGCCTCCACCACACTCCCTCCGGGGCAGAGCGTTCCACTGCTGAACATGGTAGTTAATAGTGGTAGTTAAAGAGCACATTCTAATGATTGGGTTGTTGTAGGTTTTTTCAGGCTATATGGCCATGTTCTAGAGGCATTCTCTCCTGACGTTTGGCCTGCATCTATGGCAAGCATCCTCAGAGGTAGTGAGGTCTGTTGGAAATAGGAAAAAGGGAATGACCAGGGTGGTACACAGAACTCTTGTTTGTTGGAGCTAGGTGTGAATGTTTCAACTGACCACCTTGATTAGCATTTGATGGCCTGGCAGTGCCTGGGGCAATCTTTGGTTGAGAGGTGATTAGATGTCCTTGATTGTTTCCTCTCTGTTGTTTTGCTGTTTTAATTTCGACAATACATTCTAAGGATTATTTCTGCGTTTGATTTATTAAAATATTCCCCTCCAAACCCAATTAACGAAGATGGAGGCATTACTTTTCATTCAACCCTCGTATAAAGCATGTGGCATAGACCTATTTGTCCCACTTTGCCATCTGATGGCAGTGGAGGAGGAGGGTCTCCTTGGCTGGGCTGCCATTTACTGGCCAGCAGATCTCTCTTCAGCTGGGCTGAAATGGGGAAAGGTCTCCGGCTGTCAGTCCAGGCGCAACACACATTCCTTTGAAGAAGTTTAACCTTTCATTAGCATAACATTAGCAGAGTCAAAACACAAGGGAAGGAGCGCGAGCGGAGGGATAAAAATTAGGAGTTTGCATTTGGAAAGGACAAAAACAGGCAGAGCTAAGCTTATCAAAGCAGCGGATCACAGCACCCCTCCATCAAGGGTGCACGGAGGCAGAAGGCGTGCAGGACGCCACATCAAAACAAAACACAACACATTCACTGGCTGAATTAATTAAAAAAACAGTGTACTCACGAAAGCATGTGCAAAAGCGTCACACAGGTACCAGTGACTTGCCACTTCATCATAGAATCATAGAGTTGGAAGAGACCTCCTGGGCCATCATCCAGTCCAACCCCATTCTGCCAAGAAGCAGGAATATTGCATTCAAAGCACCCCTGACAGATGGCCATCCAGCCTCTGTTTAAAAGCTTCCAAAGAAGGAGCCTCCACCACACTCCGGGGCAGAGAGTTCCACTGCTGAACTGCTCTCACAGTCAGGAAGTTCTTCCTATGTTCAGATGGAATCTCCTCTCTTGTAGTTTGAAGCCATTGTTCCATTGCGTCCTAGTCTCCAAGGGAAGCAGAAAGGAAGCTTGCTCCCTCCTCCTCCCTGTGGCTTCCTCTCACATATTTATACATGGCCCTCATCATATCTCCTCTCAGCCTTCTCTTCTTCAGGCTAAACATGCCCAGCTCCTTAAGCCACACTCCTGAAACTACAAGAAAGGAGATTCCATCTGAACTGAGGAAGAACTTCCTGACTGTGAGAGCCGTTCAGCAGTGGAACTCTCTGCCCCGGAGTGTGGTGGAGGCTCCTTCTTTGGAAGCTTTTAAACAGAGGCTGGATGGCCATCTGTCAGGGGTGATTTGAATGCAATATTCCTGCTTCTTGGCAGGGGGTTGGACTGGATGGCCCATGAGGTCTCTTCCAACTCTTTGATTCTATGATTCTATGTTCTCCAGACCCTTGATCATTTTAGTCGCCCTCCTCTGGACACATTCCAGCTTGTCAATATCTCTCTTGAATTGTGGTGCCCAGAAGTGGACACAATATTCCAGGGTGTGGTCTAACCAAAGCAGAATAGAGGGATAGCATGACTTCCTTAGATCTAGACACTATGCTCCTATTGATGCAGGCCAAAATCCCATTGGCTTTTTTTGCCGCCACATCACATTGTTGGCTCATGTTTAACTTGTTGTCCACGAGGACTCCAAGATCTTTTTCACACGTACTGCTCTCGAGCCAGGCGTCACCCATTCTGTATCTTTGCATTTCATTTTTTCTGCCAAAGTGGAGTATCTTACATTTGTCACTGTTGAACTTCATTTTGTTAGTTCGCTTGGGTTCAAGTGTAGAGTAGAGCATTCGTTGTGTATTTTAAGTGTGGGGCCCAGCATTCTTTTCAAACCCTCTTTTACAACATTTGCCTACACAGCACGACTACCTTCCTAGTAGATAGACAAAGATCCATGCCAGAGTTAATTTCAGGGGTGGGGGTGGTGGCCATCATAAAATTGACAGGAAGGAAGGGAGCAAAGCCGGGACATTCAGACAAACCATTGAGGGCACAAGCGCATGCGTGATGGTGAGTTCCTCAACAGGTTTCCCTTCCATCTCCTGCAGGGATCATCCGGACGGCGGTGGCCAACCTGGACCGGGAGACGCAGGACCGCTACGAGGTGGTGGTCCGGGCCACGGACATGGCTGGGCAGCTGGGTGGGCTCTCGGGCTCCACCACCGTCACCATCGTCATCACCGACGTCAACGACAACCCTCCGCGGTTCCCACAGAGTGAGATTGGGGCCCTGGGCATGTAATGGGGGTGGGGGGTGTGGCTGGGTGGGGGTCTTGCCAAAGTGTGGCATCATCACCTGCACTGCCAACTTCTCTCGGTTGCAGGCAGGATGCTTCTCCTTGGCTCACATGCCATGGGTTGTTGATGGTGGCACCTGTTGGATCTCCAAAGATGCCAATCAGGCCCCTTCAGCTGGATTCTCCATGAGTTAATGACCCATTTTGCTGATAGCGGGTCTTTCTGCATATGGCAGAATAAGGTGGGATAGATGACCCTTGGGGTCTCTTCCAACCAGCAAGTTATTTGTTTATTTATAGTGTCATCAGCAACCAGATATTTGTATTACAATTTTAACAAAAACAAACAAACAGACAAAACACAAAGTTTGCAAGCTTGGTAGTTGATTAGATGTACTTGGACCAGTATCTGGCCCCTTGGAGTGCCTCTGGTGTTGCCGCAAGAAGGTCCTTCCTTGTGCATGTCGCAGGGCTCAGGTTGCATTGCAGCAGGTGGTCAGTGGTTTGCTCTTCTCCACCCTCACATGTCGAGGATTCCACTTTGTAGCCCCATTTCTGAAGGTTGGCTCTGCATCTCGTGGTGCCAGAGTGCAGTCTGTTCAGCGCCTTCCAAGTCGCCCTGTCTTCTGTGTTCCCAGTGGGGAGTCTCTCATTTGGTATCAGTTCCTGGTTTGAGCCTGCCATTTTTGGACTCTCGCTTGCTGAGGTGTTCCAGCGAGTGTCTCTGTAGATCTTAGAAAACTATGTCTAGATTAAGTCATTGACGTGCTGGCTGATACCCAAACAGGGGATGAGCTGGAGATGTCTCTGCCTTGGTCCTTTCACTATTGGCTGCTACTTCCCGGCGGATGTCAGGTGGTGCAATACCGGCTAAGCAGTGTAATTTCTCCATTGGTGTAGGGCGCAGACACCTCGTGATAATGCGGCATGTCTCATTAAGAGCCACATCCACTGTTTTAGTGTGGTGAGATGTGTTCCACACTGGGCATGCATACTCAGCAGCAGAGTAGCATAGCGCAAGGGCAGATGTCTTCACTGTGTCTGGTTGTGATCCCCAGGTTGTGCCAGTCAGCTTTCGTATGATATTATTTCTAGCACCCACTTTTTGTTTGATGTTCAGGCAGTGCTTCTTGTAGGTCAGAGCACGATCCAGAGTGACTCCCAGGTATTTGGGTGTGCTGCAATGCTCCCGTGGGATTCCTTCCCAGAGCTCGGGATGCTTGTCTGTTCTTAAGGTGAAAAGCACGTGTCTGTGTTTTAGATGGATTAGGGATCAGCTGGTTTTCCCTGGAATAGGCAGTAAGATGTGCTGATGTGTGAAAGCTTCCCAAAAGTCCATTTCCCTGGGCTCAAAGCTCTCCCCAAGAAGCTTCCTTCCATTGTATCTGCAGCTGAGAGGACTCCAGGAGTCTATGAGCCTACCATTAATTTATAAAGACTTCCAGGAGGTGGTTGTCTTGGGCCCAACTACACTGCCATCTAAAATCTAGATTATCTGCTTTGAACTGGATTAAACACCAATGTGGACTTCATACAGCAGGGTAGACAGCACCTTGGTCTCTGCTTCTGCTAAAAGGTTGTGAATGTTATTGAATTTGCCAATTTTCCTTTGTAATTTCCTTTTTTGGAGGACTGTAAATCCCTTCGTGTGTGTCCAGGGAGGCTGACATATCCTGAAAGTGGTTCTGGGGACATTGTCCTTTCTAATGTCAGATTTGCATCCATGACTCTCCTTGGGCAAATATCCCCGTCTTTGCCTAGTGCGGAGAACTGTTGCAGGCACAGGAGGGCATGCCTCGCATTGGAGGAAGAGCAAGACAAGGACGTTGTGGGTGATGCTGTTGCCACCTCCCAATATAGCAGTTTGGGGACAGAGCTGACCTATGGGTTTGTTGCAAGGTCTTGTCCTTGTATTACCATCCCATTGTTTCAGATTTGGAGACACCAAAAAAGTCCCCAGAACTTGAATAATCTCCCAAACTGGTCAAACTGGAGGCACAAGGGGTTGTGACCTCTCCTCTTGGATTGTTGGCCTGTCCCATCGTATATCATGTTCCTAGGAATTCATCTGGCTAGCCAGTTGGTTTGTTTTGTAAGTCTGTGCAGATGCGATTGCATTGGAAGGCTTTGCAAATTTGGCGTTGGAAAACAGAGGCATGTAAACATCTGTAACAGGGAGTGGGTTTCCGTTTGATGGAGTGCAGTGCCTAGAAGTCACAGTGGTGTCTACAAAGGGAGTGTCTTGTGTGGATGGTTGAGGTCCTGGCACAATGTTTAAAGTGCTTCCTTTTCATCAGTCCAAGAATACCAAGGCACCAGAGGTGGAGGAAAGGTGCCCCATCAAGGGATGTTGCAGGCCAGCTGTGGAGGTGTTTGCATCTCCTTCCATCCTTCCCTTCCACCCTCTCATCCTTCCTTCCCTTTGAGCTTTCCTTCCTTCTTTCTTTCCTTCTTACCTCCCTCTTTCTCCTTCCATCCTTCCTTCCCTTCCACCCTTTATCCTTCCTTCCCCCTTTCCTCAATTCCTTCTTCCTTCCTTCCTTCCTTCCTCCTTCCTTCCTTCCTTCCTTCCTTCCTTCCCCCTTTCCTCAATCTTTTTCCTTCCTTCCTTCCTTCCTTCCTTCCTTCCTTCCTTCCTTCCTTCCCTTTTACCTTTCCTTCCTACCTTCTTTCTTTCCTTCTTCCCTCCCTCCCTCTTTCTCTTTCCATCCATCCTTCCTTCCCTTCCACCCTTTCATCCATTCTCTCATTTTTCCTCAATCTTTCTTCTTCCTTCCTTCTTTCTTTCTTTCTTTCTCTCCTTCTTTTTTCCTTCTTCCCTCTCTCCCTTACCTCCCTCTTTCTACTTCCATCCTTCCTTCCCTTCCACCTTTTCATTCTTCCTTCCCCCTTTCCTCAATATTTCTCCTTCTTTCTTTCCTTCCTTCCCTTTTAGCTTTCTTTCTTTCTTTCTTTCTTTCTTTCTTTCTTTCTTTCTTTCCTTCTTTCCTTCCCTTCCACTTTTCTTCTCCTTCCCCCTTCCATTTTCCTTCTTTCTTTCTTCCTTCCCTTTTAGCTTTCTTCTTCTTTCTTTCTTTCTTTCTTCTTCTTTCTTTCTTTCTTTCTTTCTTTCCTTCCTTCCTTCCTTCCTTCCTTCCTTCTTCCCTCCCTCCCTCCCTCCCTCTTTCTCTTTCCATCCATCCTTCCTTCCCTTCCACCCTTTCATCCTTCCTTCCCTCTTTCCTCATTTTTTTCCTTCCTTCCTTCCTTTCCTTTTAGCTTTCCTTCTTTTTTCCTTCTTCCCTCTCTCTCTTACCTCCCTCTTTCTACTTCCATCCATCCTTCCCTTCCACTCTTTCATCCTTCCTTCCCTTTTTCCTCAATCTTTCTCCTTCCTTCCTTCCTTCCTTCCTTCCTTCCTTCCTTCTTTCCTCTTTCTTCCTTCTTTTTCCTCTTCCTCTCTTCCTCTCCCCTTCTTCTCTCTTCCTTCTTCCTTCCTTCCTTCATTCCTTCCTTCCTTCCTTCCTCTTTCTTCTTCCTTCCCCTTCCTCATCTTTCTCCTTCCTTCCTTCCTTCCTTCCTTCCTTCCTTCTTCCTTCCTCCCTTCCTTCCTTCCTTATTCCTTCCTTCCTTCCTTCCTCCTTCCTCTCCTTCCTCCTTCCTTCCTTCCTCTCTTCCTTCCCTTCTTTCTCCTTCTCCCTCTTCCTCTTCTTCTCCTTCCTTCCTTCCTTCCTTCCTTCCTCCTTTCTTCCTTCCTTCCTTCCTTCTTCTTCCTTCCTTCTTCCATCCATCCATCCTTCCCTTCCCTCCTTTCTCTCCTTCCCTCTCCTCTCTTTCTCCTTCCTTCCTTCCTTCCTTCCTTCCTTCCTTCCTTCCTCCTTCCTTCCTTCCTTCCTTCCCCTCCCCTCCCTCCTCCCTCCCTCCCTCCCTTTTGTCTTTCCCTCTGTCTTTTTTCCTGCTTCCCCCTCGCCCTCCTTTCCTCCTTCTTTCTCTCCCTTTTTCTCCCTCTGGATGAGCCCTAAGATCATCAAGGGAGGCCCTGGTTACAGTCCCATCCCCCTTTGCAAGCGACTGGTAGGGACAAAAAACTGGGCCTTCTCAGTGGTGGCCCCCCGTCTATGTAACCCCCTCCCTGGTGAAATTATATCGGCCCCTTCCCTCTTGGCCTTCAGAATAAAAACATGGCTCTGAGATCAGGCTTTTGATCAATAATGGGAGCAGTGCAATAGAATAAGAGACTGTAAATTAATAGGACATTCCCAAGAGTAGTTATGGGCCCAGGAACTTTCAACTCTTTAATTTGTGTTTTCGTACCGTTTGTTTAATTCGGATGTCACTAAACGGTACATCCCTTATGGAACAGAAATATCAGTGAAACGGAAGGAACGTGGGAATGGTAATTGTTTGGTCACCTGCAGGCATGTAGCCGGGGAGGGGGGGTTGAGGGGCTTCACCCCCCCCCCCCCGAAATTCTCATGGTGGTTCGCAAAAAGGCCTTACTGGTGCATTATTTAAACTGTTACGTTTATTCATATCATGATCTGATCACCATACTCAATATATCCCATATGCATGGGGGTATTGGGGTAATGATACAAAAGGTTTGCTAGGGTAGACCCTCTTTCACTCAGACTCAGCCCCCCCCCAAAACTCAGCCCCCCCGAAACCCCCCCTGAAAAATTAGCCCCCCCCCCAAACGAAATCCTGGCTACGGGCCTGGTCACCTGATTTTCGGTGCTTGGTTGCAAGCCCTGGCAGGCGCGGGCACTTTGGGCCCGCAAGCCACACATACACTTGCCTTGGAAAGAGAACGCATACGTGGCATGCATGGCCAGAAAGCACCCACGCCTGCCCATGCCTAAAATTGAGGGGAAGGGGAGTGTGGGAAGCCCACCATTGCCACCAATGGGATGAAAATATTGGGTTTTTTTTTTACCTGGGATGAAAAAGCTCATTTTTGGGAGAGGTGCTCAAAAACGAAAATGGGTCCTTACAAGTGACATGAACAGAAACAGATAGTAATTCTATACAAATGCACAAGACTACACAGTAGCAATGATGAGTCTCCAGGGCTTCGTTCAGGATGATGCCCTTGTTGCTCAGGTGTCTATCCTCATGGGGATCAGCAACAGGTAGGGATTCTGCATCTGTAGTGCCCAGATGGACAACTTGGGTGCATCAAAACTGTGGAAAGAATGCAGATTGATTCCACTCCTGGAGGTCAATGCTGTGACACCCTGGGAGTTGCAATTTGGTGGATGAAGCCAAGATCATCCAGATGAGCCCTAAGATCATCACAGGAGGTACTGGTTACGGTCCCATCCCCTTTTGCAAGCAACTGATAGGGACAAAAAACTGGGCCTTCTCAGTGGTGGCCCCTCGAACGACATCTCCCAAGATTCCATTACTCACTGTGTGAGTCGAAGTGGTGCCAAACTGCCTTCATTCTGCAGTGTGGATGCATTCTAGGAAAGAATGGGGATTCCTTGGAGACATTATGGTGTGGAGGACACAAGTCTTGGGCTGCTCTTAATGTGGGGGGTGCCCCCTTCATTGCCATGGATCTGGTGTCATCTGTCCCCCTCAACTCCAACCTCTGCTCTCTTTGTCCAGAGATGTACCAGTTCAGCGTGGTGGAGACGGCCCCCGTGGGCACGCTCATTGGCCGGGTGAAGGCCGAGGACTCGGACGTGGGAGAGAACACGGACATGACCTACCAGATCAAGGACGAGGAGGGGCTGGGCGCCTTCCGGGTGGCCACCGACAGCGACACGCAGGAGGCCCTCATCTCGGTGCAGAAGGTGTGGGGCCAGTGCTCTCCTTGGGATGTGGGGCCAATGGGTGCACATGGGAAGGAGGTTGGCCTGCTGGTGGTCAAGGTGGCCCTATGGGGGGGGGGAGAGGGTCTTGGGGGCACCAGAGGCCAAAGGGGGTCTCAAGTTGAACCTGCCTCCCCCTTCTTCCTCTCCCTTGCAGCCGCTGAACTTCGAGGCGCAGGAGGTGCACACGGTGGTGGTGGAGGCCCTCAACAAGTTTGGGGACCCCCGCTTTGTGGACCTGGGCACCTTCCGGGACCAGGCCATCGTGAGGGTCACCGTGCTGGACGTGGACGAGCCCCCCGAGTTCCGGCCCCCCGACAGCCTGATGGAGGTGCAGGAGGACACCCTGGTGGGGGCCCTGGTGGGCGTGGTCACCGCTCTGGATCCCGACGCTGCAAGGAACCCCGTCAGGTGAGCATTGGGGGGTGGGGGTGGGGTTAAAGGGGGGAGAAGGAGGCACTCCATCTAGACCAGTGGTTCTCAACCTTCCTAATGCTGCCACCATAACATACAGTTCCTCATGTTGTGGTGACCCCCAACCATAACCCACCATAACATACAGTTCCTCATGTTGTGGTGACCCCCAACCATAACCCACCATAACATACAGTTCCTCATGTTGTGGTGACCCCCAACCATAACCCACCATAACATACAGTTCCTCATGTTGTGGTGACCCCCAACCATAACCCACCATAACATACAGTTCCTCATGTTGTGGTGACCCCCAACCATAACCCACCATAACATACAGTTCCTCATGTTGTGGTGACCCCCAACCATAACCCACCATAACATACAGTTCCTCATGTTGTGGTGACCCCCAACCATAACCCACCATAACATACAGTTCCTCATGTTGTGGTGACCCCCAACCATAACCCACCATAACATACAGTTCCTCATGTTGTGGTGACCCCCAACCATAACCCACCATAACATACAGTTCCTCATGTTGTGGTGACCCCCAACCATAACCCACCATAACATACAGTTCCTCATGTTGTGGTGACCCCCAACCATAACCCACCATAACATACAGTTCCTCATGTTGTGGTGACCCCCAACCATAACCCACCATAACATACAGTTCCTCATGTTGCGGTGACCCCCAACCATAACCCACCATAACATACAGTTCCTCATGTTGTGGTGACCCCCAACCATAACCCACCATAACATACAGTTCCTCATGTTGTGGTGACCCCCAACCATAACCCACCATAACATACAGTTCCTCATGTTGTGGTGACCCCCAACCATAACCCACCATAACATACAGTTCCTCATGTTGTGGTGACCCCCAACCATAACCCACCATAACATACAGTTCCTCATGTTGTGGTGACCCCCAACCATAACCCACCATAACATACAGTTCCTCATGTTGTGGTGACCCCCAACCATAACCCACCATAACATACAGTTCCTCATGTTGAGGTGACCCCCAACCATAACCCACCATAACATACAGTTCCTCATGTTGCGGTGACCCCCAACCATAACCCACCATAACATACAGTTCCTCATGTTGTGGTGACCCCCAACCATAACCCACCATAACATACAGTTCCTCATGTTGTGGTGACCCCCAACCATAACCCACCATAACATACAGTTCCTCATGTTGTGGTGACCCCCAACCATAACCCACCATAACATACAGTTCCTCATGTTGTGGTGACCCCCAACCATAACCCACCATAACATACAGTTCCTCATGTTGTGGTGACCCCCAACCATAACCCACCATAACATACAGTTCCTCATGTTGTGGTGACCCCCAACCATAACCCACCATAACATACAGTTCCTCATGTTGTGGTGACCCCCAACCATAACCCACCATAACATACAGTTCCTCATGTTGTGGTGACCCCCAACCATAACCCACCATAACATACAGTTCCTCATGTTGTGGTGACCCCCAACCATAACCCACCATAACATACAGTTCCTCATGTTGTGGTGACCCCCAACCATAACCCACCATAACATACAGTTCCTCATGTTGTGGTGACCCCCAACCATAACCCACCATAACATACAGTTCCTCATGTTGTGGTGACCCCCAACCATTACCCTAACATTATGAATCGCCATGTAAATAATGATCTGCAGGATGTATTTTCATTCACTGGAGCAAATTTGGTGGGGGATTTGATTTTGTCATTTGGGAGTTGTAGTTGCTGGGATTTATAGTTTACTTACAATCAAAGAGCATTCTGAACTCCACCAACGATGGAATTGAACCAAACTTGGCACACAGAACTCCCATGATCAACAGAAAATACTGGAAGGGTTTGGTGGGCATTGACCTTGAGTTTTGGAGTTGTAGTTCACCTACATCCAGAGAACACTGTGGACTCAAACAATAATGGATCTGGACCAAATTTGGCACAAATACTCAATATGCCCAAATGTGAACACTGGTGAGTTTGGGGAAAATAGACCTTGACATTTGGGATTTATTGTTAACCTACACTTACAATCAAAGAGCATTCTAAACCTCCCCAATGATAGAATTGGGCCAAACTTCCCACACAGAACCCCCATGACCAACAGAAAATACTGTGTTTTCTGATGGTCTTTGGCAACCCCTCTGACACCCCTTCGTGACCCCCTCAGGGGTCCCGATCCCCAGGTTGAGAAACACTGATCTAGACCCCTCACTCCCCCCGATGTCCAAATGTGCCTGGTGCAACTCTCGGGAATTCTGGGCACTTTTGCCTTTTCATCGAATGCTAGAGTTGGAAGAGACCTGCTGGGCCACCCAGTCCAACCCCATTGTGCCCAGAAGCAGGGAAATCACATTCAAAGCCCCCCTGAGAGATGGCCATCCAGCCCCTGTTTCAAAGCCTCCAAGGAAGGAGCCTCCACCACACTCCGAGGCAACGAGAGAGTTCCACTGGTGAACAGCTCTCTCTCACACACAGCCAGGAAGTTCTTCCTTATGTTTAGGTGCAATCTCCTTCCTTTCCTGTATTTTGAAGCCATTCCTTTATTGTGTCCTAGTCTCCAGGGCAGCAGAAAGGAAGCCTGGGACATATTCCCCTCCCCTCTCGATCCCTGGCCCTCATTATGTCTCCTCTCAGCCTTCTCTTCTGCAAGCTAAACATGCCCAGGTCTTTAAGCCGCTCCTCATAGGGATTATTCTCCAGACCCTGGATCTTTTGAGTCATCCTCCTCGGGACACATTCCAGCTTATCAACATCTTCCTTTTGCAGCCCACAAGGCTCTGGTCCCTATGAAGCGAACTCTTGCACTGAGTGGAGTGTCCCCGTGCCATTTGGGTCTCTCTCCCTCCAGATGTTTATGGCGCATGCCCCCTATTACCTCTGAGCATGCTGGTTGGCAAAGATGGGACTTGGAGTCCCCTTCCATCCACTTCCGAGCCATTCCTGCCAGTCCCATTTTGGTGGAAGGGATGTGTGTGAGCATGTGAGTGGGGAGCCCACAGGTGGGCAGCAGGGGGAAGGAAGAGGCAATGACTTAGATGAAGGGTTAGAAGGCAGGATCATCAAGTTTGCAGACGACACCAAATGGGGAGGGAGAGCCAAGACTCCAGAGGACAGGAGCAGGATTCAAAGGGATCTTGGCAGATGAGAGAGATGATTGCCCAAAACTAACAAAATGAAGTTCAACAGGGACAAATGCAAGATACTCCACTTAGGCAGGAAAAACAAAATGCAAAGACACAGAATGGGGGACGATGCCTGGCTCAAGAAAAAGATCTTGGGGTCCTCGTGGACAACATGAGCCAACAATGTGATGTGGCGGCAAAAAAAGCCAATGGGATGTTGGCCTGCATCAAGAGGAGCATAGTGTCTAGATCTAGGGAAGTCATGCTCCCCATGCTCTATTCCGCCTTGGTTAGACCACACCAGGAATATTGTGTCCAATTCTGGGCACCACAATTCAAGAGAGATGTTGACAAGCTGGAATGTGTCCAGAGGAGGGCGACTAAAATGATCAAGGGTCTGGAGAACAAGCCCTATGAGGAGCGGCTTAAAGAGCTGGGCATGTTTAGCCTGAAGAAGAGAAGGCTGAGAGGAGACATGATAGCCATGTAAATATGTGAGAGGAAGTCATAGGGAGGAGGGAGCAAGCTTGTTTTCTGCTTCCCTGGAGACTAGGACGAAAGGGATCCATGGCTTCAAACGACAAGAGAAGACATTCCATCTGAACATGAGGAAGAACTTCCTGTGAGAGCCGTTCAGCAGTGGAACTCTCTGCCCCGAAGGGAGTGTGGTGGAGGCTTTTAAGCAGAGGCTGGATGGCCATCTGTCGGGGGTGATTTGAATGCAATATTCCTGCTTCTTGGCAGAATGGGGTTGGACTGGATGAGGGCCCAGGAGGTCTCTTCCAACTCTTGGATTCTAGGATTCTAATGCTTCGCTTAACCTCCATTGGTCACAATGTCTTCTGCTCTGAGGCCAACCACTCTGCTTCCTCTGGTCAGGCCTTCTCCTGGCTGTCCTCTCCTTGCACTTTGAATGGTCATTACTGGGAACAGGAGGAGGAGGATGAGGAGCTGAGAGGGGGGGTCCCTGGGCTAGAGGCATGAGGGGGGGGGGGGGGAGGCAGGATCATTCAGAGATATCCCCACTGCCCTGCCCTCCTCCAATGCTCCCAAGGAAGGAAAGGAGGAGGAGAGGCAGGAGGCGCCTCCAAAGGGCCCCCAAGTGGGGGGGAGAAACCCCTTCCCCACCTGAGCTTGACCTTCCCTTGTACGTCACAGGTGAGGGAAGTGCCTTCCCTCTTCCAGAGAGTGAGTTCCTTTCCATGGTGCCAGGACAAGTGCACCACCGAGGGCAAAGGCAGAGGCCATTGTGGTGACCACAGGGTGGAAGCAAAGGGAAAATCATAGAATCCTAGAATCCAAGAGTTGGAAGAGACCTCCTGGGCCATCATCCAGTCCAACCCCATTCTGCCAAGAAGCAGCATAGAAATGGCCTCACTTAACCAATTTTGTATTCTGCACAGTCAACAAGGGGAAGCCCCATGCATCCCCTATTGCAGTAGTCTAGCTTCATAGAACCATAGAATCCTAGAGTTGGAAGAGACCTCATGGGCCATCCAGTCCAACCCCATTCTGCCAAGAAGCAGGAATCTTGCATTCAAATCACCCCTGACAGATGGCCATCCAGCCTCTGTTTAAAGCTTCCAAAGAAGGAGCCTCCACCACACTCCGGGGCAGAGAGTTCCACTGCTGAACGGCTCTCACAGTCAGGAAGTTCTTCCTCATGTTCAGATGGAATCTCCTCTCTTGTAGTTTGAAGCCATTGTTCCATTGCGTCCTAGTCTCCAGGGAAGCAGAAAGGAAGCTTTCTCCCTCCTCCTCCCTGTGGCTTCCTCTCACATATTTATACATGGCTCTCATCATGTCTCCTCTCAGCCTTCTCTTCTTC